TAAAATTTAACTGCATAACCATTATTCAAGTCTATGCTCCAACAACAGATGCTGAAGGAGATGAAACTGAAAAAAAAGCTTTTATGCAAGCTTCCAGGAGGAAAATGATAGCACACCAAAACCATCAGTCTGAGGAAGTAGACTTGTCCACAAAAACACACATTAAAATATAGCAGCTACTCTTGAAGGTGCCACAACATTTTTGTCTTCTTTATTTTCTTCTTTTGCTTCGGCCTGAAATGCCAGCACAGAAAAACACTGCTGTCTCTTTTAAAACACTGAAACCAGTCATGCTTATAATGATAGGAGACTAAAACGCAAAAGTAGGAAACAAAGTAGAATCAAATGCTGCTGAAAGTCAAGAATACCATTATAGCCGAAATGACACAATCTTAATCTTACTTTTCTGGTTCTTTCATAACCATTTATACAAATCTATTTTTCTCAATCTTATTTTTATTTCTTTACTACAGTCTCTATTTGAATTGACAGTAGAGATGGGGGTATTTGTATTCGTATACCCCCGCACAGGTGGATGTAATGAGGGTCCGGCCCCCTGGGGCCAGACCGTCCACCCACCTGTCCACCGCCGGTGCTGGCTCTGCTCTCTCTTCTAATCGCTCCAGAGCTGTTGATCGACTATCCACTCCTGGCAGGAGGAGGGAAGACGAGTCTCCCTGCCAGTCTGATGAGTGGCTAGCTGACCAGGAGCTCTGGAGTGATTGGAAGGGAGAGTGGAGCTGGTGCCAGCGGCGGACGATCTGGCCCCAGGGGGCCATACCCTCATCATGTCCACCTGTGCAGGGGTATTCATATTCATATGCGAATACCCCATCTCTAATTGACAATGATTGAACAATTCCTCTATTTCAGTTTCTTCATTAAAGTTATATAATTCTTCTGTAGTCACAATATTGGTTTTCCTAACATTCCGTTGTAACCCTTTTGCACTTTTTTCTTTCACCTTCCTCAGTACTTTCTACCAGTAATGTAATACAATGTTATCTGAATAGCTTAAGTCACTGTAACTATGCATTACTAAACCCATAATCATATGCTGACAGTCTGAAAATCTGATTTTCAAGAAAGCATACTTGCCAACCTGTTTTATAAGTCTTATGATCATGTACTTGGCTGTGTTCTCCCGCTACACACTTCATGCTGTTAAGTGTTCAATAATGTAAAGGACATAGGCTGTAAATGCATCTGTACATCTTTCGAAAATAAAGAATCAGTGATTTCAAAGAGAAATTAGGATCCAACTTTATCCTGATGAAGAGGGCTATAAGCCATAAATGTCCAATACAACTTTTAAGGTACGACACAACTCTTTATTATTTCAGTTTTGTTCTTATCCCTGAAATATTGTGTGAGACAAGCCGCTCAGTATTTTTCTGTCACCATCCAAATACAAAGGATTAGATTATCTTCTGGCACAAGCAAGGCAGAGAGCAGCTGGTCCTTCCCATTCAAATGGTCACTTGGGAAATATTCAATTAAATTTTAAGTATTCAAATTTCTGGTTTCTCTGTCTTCTTTGCACCCTGGTGTAGCAGCAGAAGCACCAGTCTCCAACATAGCATTATCCCATGGTTTGTATAGAAGGCATTTGTTTTCATAGCTCTCCAGAACACTCCAGGTCCTATGGTTAAATGCTGGGTTAAAAGGCAAAAGATTTATATGATATGAAGAGAAACCAGAGTAAAATATAAGCAAAATAATTAAGGGTGGCTAAGAACACCCTGTATTATTATTATATAGCCTGTCAGTTTAGACAGCTTCTTAGATTGATCAATCAGGATAACAAATGGACATGGTTACCATTAGAATCCCCGAGGGGAACCCTGGAAAAATACCTAGAATTCCATTTTTGCTTAGAAATAAAAAATATTCCACTATACACAGAAAATCCATTTTTTGAAAACTTTAATAGTGAATTGGGGTGAATGGAAGACAAAGTTATTAGTAGGGTAGGATTTCTATGACATGCCATATTTTTTCTGCAACTTATGTTTGAGTTTATGGGTGGATTTGAACATGTTCATGAGTAATCTGGTAAGAAAGGCCAGATTACTCATAAACATGTTTGAATTTGCTTATGGGCTCAAATGTAGGTTACAAAATGTCACAGAATTCCTCCCCATAGTTATTATCATCTAATTCATCCTTTATACATTTTTAAAGTCACCCCCCTATTTTGTAACAATGATAAATAGGTGCAGTTTTGGAACTGGAAGGAAAGAGGACTGTTTTACTGTACTTCCATGACCTCAATATACCAAAATCAAGGACCCAACTCTTGACACAACTTGGTAATACAAAAGCTTCATGGCTCCAACTAAACGAACTAATCCATTTTACTCATTTACCACAGTTTAGAGAAGTAGTTAAGTCTCCATCACAAATGGAAAACATAGTATTATTGCCTAACGAAGAGCATAAGGGCCTGAATAGTCAGTATTTATTAATACTCTATACAGTAATACAAGTGGGCTCAAAGTAGACTGAAAGATAGACTTTGGATTTACTATCAGAAATGAAGACTGGAAAAGTGGAGTAGGAAACCTTTTAAATCAATGGCTGTTGTGGGTTTTTCGGGCTCTTTGGACGTGTTCTGAAGGTTGTTCTTCCTAACATTTCGCCAGTCTCTGTG